AAAAAAAAAAAAAAGTCCTAGGACTAGACCATTTGGGTTCAAATTCTGACCCACTACTTTCTAGCTGTTGGGATCTTGGCAAATTTCTGAACTTATGATTATTAGAGAAGAGGGGAATTTATTTATATGTAAAACTTTACCAAAGTTTATAAAAACATTTTCGCAAATCTTTTCAATTTTCCTGGGTTTGGGGCAGGGATCACTTGTAGGACCTAACTACCTTAAATCTGCAGGTGGGCTGGTCATATGTGGAGGCCTTTCTCCAAGGGAAGACAGGCTCTTCTTGCTTCTGGCAGCTCCAAATTCAAACCATTTTTGTGACAGGAGGAAGGAATGAATGATTGTACAGGTAGCGTCTACTTGCAGGCTTCCAGGATCTGAATCCCAGCCTTAGCAAGACTCATAACCTCTCTGAACCTCAGTTTTAGCTTCTTTATAATGGGAATCATCATCATAATAATACCTGCCTCATGGGGTCATGGTAAGAATTAAACGGATTTAAAGCACTTAGACTAGTGCCTAGTGAGCCAGGGAGATAGCTCAGTTGCATAAGTACCTGCCTGGCAAGTGCAAGGTCCTGCGTTTGATCCCCAATACTGAAAAAAAAAAAAAAAAAGAATAGTGTCTAGAATATGTTAAGGGCCAAGTCGGTGCGGTTTTGTTTTGTTTATAGTACCTGAAATTGAACCTAGAGCCTTAGCTCTGAACTAACTACATCCCTTGCCCCTTTTTGATCTTCTATTTTGTGTCAGGGCTTCTCAGTTGTCCAGGCCAGGCTTGAACCTCATGCTGGTGGTCCTCATGCTGAGCCTCCCAGAGTGCGGGGCCAACAGGCATGTACCGTCATACCTGGCTTGGTTTTAAATACTACTGGTTGGGCCAGGGAGATGGCTCAGTAGAATAAGTGCTTGCCTGGCAAGCACAAGGGCCTGAGTTCAATCCCCGGTTCCGCCAATAAATAAATAAACAAACAAACAAACTTTGAATTAACCTTATAAATAAATAAATAAATACTACTGGTTGACTGTCCCACGGGGGGCTGTGGAGGGGGCCTGACCACCGCCTCGCCCGCTTCCCACTGCACTCACAGCCCCACCAACCTCAGCAGCTCCCTTTCCTCTGCGGTTCTATAGTCAGTCAGAAATGCGAGTCTTAAGGTCACCACAGTACTGACCCTAAAGGTGAAGACACCTGTCTGAGGCCACCGCAGGCCAGCCTGGTCATCAGACCTCGTACTCAGTGCACTTTCCACACAGCTACTCGTGCAATTTCAGCAAGGATGGCTCTTACCCCCTCTAACACACATACACACACACACACACACACACACACACACACACACACACTTCTCCCTCATGGCACCTCATAAATCAGAGGCCTGTAGAAATAATCCCGATCCCCACAGTAAGAACCAGCAGATGGAAATGTTGACTCAATTATCACCATGACTGTCATTATCTGTTGAAAAACAAAAATTGCTTCCTAGATACATTAAGTGCAAACAACAGCTCAGTAGAAAAATGGGCAAAAAAAAAAAAAAAAACCAAAACCTGAGCAAATGACTGCCATTATCTGTTGAATCAAGA